ATTATTTTTTTTCTCATTATAATGCTCTTATTAACATGGAAAAGTGGATCGGCTTGTTTTGTGCAAATGTTTTTTTTTTTATTGAAAACAACGTTGGCATATACAGTGTTCAAATTCACACTATGTTGTTTGGACACTATTTGCTCATTATGAGCAAATAATCTTTCACACAATGTAACACTGTCCATCAATAAAAGGGTGAAAGAAATACTGACGAGGTCGTGTTATTGACGAGGGGGCGGAGAATTCGCATCAGCTGTGTTTGTGTGTGTGCTTGGCCATCATCAAACGGTATTTCAGACTGGATGTGCAGCGGTGATGATAGCTCAGTTCTCAACGACAAAACACACAGATCACTTTGGTCTTGTCAATGGAACCATTTGGCAACTTTTAAAAGTAAAACTTTCCATTCAGAATCTTATTGGCATCCATTTTGGCGTCTCGTGCTCGTTATCCACTCAAAACTTAACGTTAACCAACTATTTGACCAACTATTTGTGATGTAGCTGTTGTTTTATTTCCAGTCTAGCTAGATCCGCTTGTGCTTTGGTCGACGAAGCAACAAAACGTCCTTGCGCGGCGCAAGTAATTGCAATGAATGGGTTTCATAGCGCAGCTATGAAAATTTGGGATCGGTGGGATTTTTTTTATTAATAATTTAATTAAAAAATGTATGGAATTAACTGGTATTATCTAATTGTGTTGTTAAATTTAAAAGCTGACAGATATTCAACATAATTCAATTTTGAGAGTTGAGAGTCTAACAGAAGGACGGAAAAAAACAGTAAATATAAACTGATTTCTTGTCATATTTTATCACCATTTTCTATACTATAGTGAATAAGCTCTGATAATATGAGAAATGTTGAAGGTGTCTGAATAAACTTTGGTTTAACTGTAAGCATAATAGCATAATAAACATTTTTAAAGGTTCAATCTTGATTTGATTTCATAGTTAAACTATCCCTATAAACTCGTTATCACGTATTGAGTGTATTAATCATAGATATTTGCATTGCTTCTGGTCTGGTCTGTGTTTCAAAGTTGTCCATTTGCATATGAGACCTTGAGGCATTGTTTCTGAACGCTCTCTGTAGGCCTGAACTTCTGGAGTCTGTTTGTCCTCTTCCAGGGTTTTATTATATAACCTCCCCGAGGCGAGGGCTTCAGTTAAACTCGTTGGTGGTTCCTATCAGCACTTCCCTCATGGATCCCATTTGTAACGGAGGGCTCAAGTGTCTCTCTGGATTGGCAAAACTGCTGAACGCTTAAGAGTCATCACTGCCCAAAGATGTGCGTGTCAGTCCACAATGACTTCCTGATTATTTAAAGCGATGACTGTGGGTGATATTTGGCTGCCAGTTGGGATTCACTTCATACTTTTGTCTGGTTTTATTTGGGACTCATTTTGTTCTCGCTGCCAGGCATTAGATCAAACGTCTTAGGTTACGACTGTAACCTATGTTCCCTGAGAACAGGGAACGAGACAATACTTCGAATGATGCAATGGGGAACGCCTCATTGCGTCATTCGACGTATTGTTGAGTTCCCTTCGAAAGGGAACTGGAGGATAAAGTAACTTTCGTTTCAGTGTTTCACACTTTTTAGACATGCACGCTATAATAAATAGACTTGTTTTTACCAAACTTTATAAATTTTCCTTTAAATGTCTCATATATCACTGAAAATGGGTGAATATATCACTGAGAATGAGAGCTATAATGTGGTATATGGCACATAGTCAGGATAATTCTAGGGAAATGCTCCGATATGAAAATGTTGACCGATACCCGATAATTATTTATATTTGAAAGCCGATAACCGATATGTTGGCCGATAAATCTAAATCAAAATTTTTTGAAAGTTTTTAAGAGCCTTATTACAAAAACAAAAGTCTCACCATTAAAATCCAAGTCCAAAACACAATTATAATGTTCTCAATATAGTTTTATGTTGCCGATATGACAGACTGTTGCACTTTTCCGTGTTTTGACGTGATTTCAATCATATTTCAAGCAATTCAAAACCATCATTTTGAACAGTGCACATATGAAGGAAATAACACATTATTTATCAACTTTAGTTACTTTAATATGTCGGACAAATTTTCTTTTTGGGCCGATAATGATAACATTAAAAATGATAATTGACCGATACCGAAATGGTGGCCGATATATTGTGCATCCTTAGATAATTCTGCTTAAATTGTGTAAAAATGTTGTAGCAAATGCAACATATAATAATATACATAAAATGTATTAAAGGGGGCCGAAGGCCAATTTAGCTCAAAGGGAAATGATTCATTGATTTGCAATGAATCTATGGAACAGAATCACTGAGCCGAGCAAATGACTCGCTTAGAATTCATTTGAACGGGCCGTAATTATAACCAAATCTATAGTGAAACACTATATCTTAGCAAGGTAACTTTAAATCGAACAGTACAAGACATTAAATGTGCAAACACGACACAAGAATATTTATCTTTTCAAATATATGGACAAGACTTTATTAGCTATTCTAAGCACAAAACTAAGGTCTAAACATAATCACGCACACGCACACACACATTCATACAGTCGCGAAAGGGAAAGAGTGAGTTGGAAAGAGTGAGAGAGAAAGTTTCAACTTTCTATATGCACATAAGACATAACCTGAAAGGACCACCAAGCATTAATTTGAACCTTCGTTTCTTAGAGAGGTTATTCAATTAACATTAAGCACCAGTTCAGTTAGAGCCTGGAGTACTTGCGCGTTGTAGTGGCTGAGGGAATTCCTTTTGTCTGCGTCGCGTCGAAGGGGGGTTTCCCGGCCGGGTCCGTTGCGTTGTTTGTTGTCTTTGAAGTGCAGGGATGGAAGTTTCGCCGCTGGTCACGTGTGATTAGCAAGCGAATGAGAGTCTTTTCCAATTCGAAGCGCGTTGCAAACTTAACTTTGAAACGAGACTTTTACGAAAAAGGAAATAAAGGAAAGAAATGAAAGCAAGGCGAGTCGGATGGCTTGACTGAGCTGAATTGTAACCCTGATCTTGATGGGTTATTCGTCTGCTGGTCGAATTTGGTCTAGTCGATGTAGAAGCATGCGAACATGTTCTTTGTTTCAGAGATAAGCACGAACAGAACACTCTCTTGCTGGTTTTAGAGAGAGGCACGGACTTAACAGTTACAGAACTGAACGAACTGAACAAAAATCTAAACAAAAATCATCTGAAATCTTCTAAAATCTACAAAAATCTACAAAAATCTGATCATGAGGTCCTTTGTTCGGATCTTTAACTTAAACTCTAGTCCAACCTCCAAGAAGCTTCTGGCCAATTGGAGGCGGATCTACTTCTTGCTTTATCATAATTTATGCATGGTCTGTGAGCTGGTCTCCAGCACTTAGCAGAGACAAAAGACCATCGTTTAAACCTTATGATTATTATAATCATAAAACAAAACCTTTTACGCAGATTTCAATCAAGCCATCTTTTGAATTACGAGAATACGGTTCGTTTAAGAGCAAACGAGGCATTCACACTTCTAATGGTTGTATAACAATTACAAGAGTTAATAGTTAACAACAATTACATGGTTATTATGTGATCTAAGCATAATACACATGAAGTGTAGGAACAACAAGAATTATGATTGGTTATAGGTCCAAGAATTGTTCTGTGGTGAGTTCATATTATTTTATGTGTGAGATCTTCGATCTCAACCGTAAGGTTACTGAGAGTTCAACTCGAAGGGGGACGAGGCAAAGGTGTTCTGTGGAACATCTCTGTCAGGGCATCAGAGGGGTCTTTGATGTGAGATCTCGTTCCACCATTTTGGAGCTGATTTGTCTTAGTTAAAATTACCATATTGACACGTTCGTCCTGTTTAGTGCCCATCTCTTGGGCCTGTGGGGCAATAAAAGTCCTTATCTGCAGACAGCACGGAGTCGTTCCGTGACTCTGGAATGTGGGCTCCAGAACTTGGAGTGTTGAAGCCATGTGAATTAATCCCATGAGAGATTAATTTGATTAAGTTGTGTTTGATTCGCCTCGATTCTCTACATATTCCCCCCTCGATCGATGATGGGTTGAGAAGAAGACATCATTGAACGCTGGAGAAACAGAAGAAGTAGAAGCAAACACACACAGCAAACAACAAAGCAACTCCTCCATGACTGGTCACTTTACTGGTGCAGGGCATTAGGTTATCTAGGCCTAACGAGTTCACTCTCTCAATATAGTCAATTATGTGGAAAAAGTTTAGTTCAATTTTAGGACCGTTATTCTAGTTTGTGTTAAACGGTGATTGATAAACTTTGTGACTAAATTTGATTTGTTTGTTTTATCCACTTCTAAATTGTTCTAGGTTTAGACCAATTTACCTTCCAGATTTTGATTCGAATGATGCAGGGAGTTCTCTGGCTAACATTCGTTCTAAGGTGACTTGCAAACGTCAGGCGTGGTGCGTCAATCCTTATATTGTAACCTTGACCCTTATGGGGTAAAAGGGATTTTACCTAATAAGAGAAGAAGGGAAGGAAGAGGTAAAACAAAACAAAGCAGTTGAGTGACTCCAGTATGGGTACTGTTGTGCAGTGACAGGTGTCAACATGTGATGAGAGGTGTTATACTTGTTGGGTGTATTGCTATATGTTTCCTGTGGCGGAAAGGTTAGCTAATACAATGAAAAACATGTTTGTTGAATGTTTTCATGGTAGATGTGTTTAACTTGTGTATGTCAGTACAATGTAGTGTAGTGCATGTACTGTATGTATGCTGTATGTATGTCAGATCTGTCTCAGTCTGTTTTGCTCCCCCCTTTGCTTGATGGCTTAGCTTTGATGAGCTTGTCACATCTTTGCCTTGGAAAGGGATCTTCTGTGATCTGCTGGGGGTCAGTCCCGTTAGGCAGGAAGTTCTCTGGCAGACATTGGGAGGTGGTTTGGCACGGATGCGTGAAGCTGTAGTGCAAAACGTGGTCTCCTTGTTGCATTCCACTTGTGATGCCTTCTGGTTGTGACAGACAGTCTGACTTCTGTGCTTACTGGTGTTGCGGCAGCACACAGATGGTTCTTGAGTTTGGAGCTTGTGGTGTGATGGGTAACCAGGATGGTGTTTTCTGGTACCTCTGGGTGTTTGTCAGTGGTTGACTGTGAGAGGCCACTTTGTTCTGTGTTGTTGTAGAACAGGTGGTCGTCTCAGGAAGGTGTGCAAGGTGATCACTGGTCTTCTGTGTTCAGCTTGTCTTTGAAGAACACTCGCAGTCGACTCAGTAGTTGCTCCATGTCTTCTGAGGGGAGACTGTCGTGTTCTTGGACACACTCAGTGTGGTGTGGAGGTGGGTTTCGTTGTCGCTTACCCACATAGAATGCTTTTGGATGCACTCGTTGATTCCAGTTGTTTCCTTCGGGTGGGTCCCATGACTTTTCCACGTGGTTGGAGTGGTCGCTGTCGTTAGCATGGGAGTAGCATTCTCTGTGCTCCTGATGAAGGACTGTGGAGTTGTCATGCCACTGGGTGTCTTCCAGTGCAAGGCTTGTGTCTTGGCTGCTGGAGTTTGACACTGTGGATGTTTTCAAACCTTTCTTGGAAGTCATCTTTTGTTTGATGTAGGCCTTGTGTGTCAGGTCACGTAGCTGTTGAAGCGTCATGGTGACTGGGCAGGCCATGATGCCGAGATGACGACTCAGTCCTGGGTGCAGGTTTCTCAGGAAGAGGGTTTTGAAGTTCAGATCCTCTTCAGATTCAGGTTTGCTATGTGCACCGAAGTAGGCTTGTCGGAAACGGTGATAATAGGCTTGGGGAGTCTCTTGACGACCTTGTTTGGTTTCCAAGGCGACTAACACACCATGTTCTGACTCTGGACTTGTAAATTCTTTAATCAGGATCTCACGTAGCAGCTGGTAGTTTGACTTGACATGAGCAGGTTGTCGGTCTAGGACGCTTCGTACCTCTTGACTGGATGTGGATCTGAGGAGGTATAAAATGTCTCTGTCAGTCATATGTGGTCTCACCTCTAGGAGGAAGTCGATATCTTGGAGGTAGGCCTGGATGCAGTGGCCCTCCGTGGAGTTCGGGTCGAACTGGGTGATGTTCTTAGCCAGCTGGTTGAGATCTTTGAAGGTCATTCCAGTTGCAGCTTTGGAGTCTGGCTGGATGATCTCTCTTTGTTGGTTGGCAGGGAAGAGTTCTGTGGTGAAGGCCGGTGACGTTTTGGGGTGTGGCCATTCACTTCTTCCGTAGGATGACAGTTCTTGGATGGAGGACTCTGTTCTGCTCAGCAGTGATGATGCTGAGGGAGGTCTCTCCCTTCTTGGCTCTGGTTTCTGTGTAAAGACATGTTGGAGTTCATTTCTGACCGCGTAGAGCTCGTCGTTGGCGTCGTCTCGCTGTTGGGTCAGATGGTCAATTTCAACGCTGCACCTTCGCAGGTGGTCTTCCAGAGCAGTGAGTTTAGAGTTCTTACTTTCAATGTCAGCTTTGGCTTTCTCTAGCTGATGTTCAGCAGACTGGAGTTGGTTTTCCAGGTGCTTCTGGACAGTCTTTAACTCTTGTTTGTCACGTTCAGTGACTGCAAGGGCTTCTTGGAGCTTGTCAACTTGGGTCTTTGTTTCATGCTCCGCTTCGTCGGACGCTTTGAGCTGGTCTTTGCAGTGTTGAGTGTGCGTCAGCTCTCTCAGGAACTCGGTGGTCTTGAGGTCGTCCTGGACTTTCACTTCCAGCTTGTCTATGCGGCTTTGGGCACGTGTCAGCTCCTCCTGAAGGTGGGTGACGTGCTGGTGGCTTAGCTTTAGCTGGGCTGTGAAGGCATTGCTTAAGGAACAGGTTATTTTGGTTAGTTCCACATGGCTTTGGTTTTGGCTTGAATCATGTGTCAGGAATCTTCTCAGAATTATTATTAAGAATAATAACAGTTCAATTGTCTTTGGTGTGAGGCAGTCTGTAATGCCTCTGAGCCAGGCGTCCATGTCTTCCCGTTGGGCAGTGGGGTTTGTCGTCCACGACATGTTGGCACGCTCGGTGAAGAGACTGACACAGATCTGTGTGGTAAAGCCTATATGTGGTTGCACGGCTGAGTGTAGTTTCAGTAAGTGTGCACAATAGTGAAGTGTCGTGATGACTAAATGTTGGTCTAAGTGTACACAGTGAGGCTAGGGATGTGAAGATCTCGTCACTCAACTGGGTAAAGGAAAGAAAAAGAAGAGGTTAAAACAAATCTCAGGGAAAACTTTTTGTTTCAATGGAAAAAATTTTTTGTAAATATTTTCTATCACTGGAAAGCTGGTTTCAACTCGTGATGTGAGGACTTCGTCACTCAACTGAGTAAGAGAAGAAGAGTTAACAACCAATTTCAAATGAGAGAGAAACGAAACAAAAAGGAAATTATTAACTAGGGAAAGTATTAATTTCTCATTTTTTATCAATGACAATCTGTTTCCAGAAAGGTAAACAATATTATTGATTATGTTTGCAATGAAAAATAATACAATAATAATGCTGATACCTCTTTTCTGAGTTTGACAGGATTGACACACACACCTTCGGTTGGACCGCTTACAGCAGGGCTTACAGCAGGGATGCTTTGAAGGCGGAGTTTGCTCAACACTTGTCTCTGTTAATTAATCTTGGATAAGATGTCAAAGTTTAAATTGCGTTTACAAATGCAGGGAGAGTGAGAAGAACACAAGAGGGTTTGATTAAAAATCAAATACCTAATAATCTGTTTGGGAAAGATTATCTTTGTCTCTTTTTAGAGTTGGTTGATGGTTCTTCCAGGTTTGTTCCCTACAAATGTGCAAAATTAGATGGAATAAAGCAGGACAGAACAGGAAAGATGTGATGAGGAGGAAATGAAGCAAGGAGGTTGGATCCCGCTACCTTTAGATCTACTACGAGTATAGAATTGATAGTTGATGAACAACTAAACACACAAATAAACTTTGTAAAAGACGATTGTCTCTGGTTTATTTGAAACTCGTATTGAGATGGTAATGTCTCCTATTGAAGCGTCACGCAAATGAATTATTCCAATATAGTGGTTAAGTTTATAACCAACAAGACGAAAGGATAAAGCGCAATGACGATAATAAGCAAATCTGAGTCTAACACTATTTTTGTAATAGTAATAACAACTTTCCAAATTTTTAACTTTCAGAGTTCTTAAGTTTCAAAACTAATTCACCTAAAGTGATTAGATCTCAAAGAGAAATGTAAAAATTATGAAAATTATGCAATTAGAATTATTACAAAAATAAATCTAGAAATCATTAGAAATGATCTGTTTAGAAAGGTAGAATCTCAATTTTGCAATTTCTTGTTCTTTTAAAATCAAATTCGAAATTTGACAATTAATAATCATAAACCAGTATTTTCTTTTTCAAGTAAAATGCAGGTAAAACAATTAATAATGGTACACCAGTATTTTCCTTTCAGGAAAAATATGGTTAACTTTAAAGAAAAGTGTGATAAAGTTAAAAGAAGAAACAAGAAAAGATCGATAGGTGTCTAAATGGTTAAATCGCTTTAACGTTGTTCAAACAGACACTATAGCTAACCGCTGGGGTTAGTATTGATAATAGTAACTGATGCTAAAGGCTTTAGCACAGGCCTCAATGCAAACAACCGCTCAGCTTTAGCTTAGCCTAGCTTAGCTTAGCGTAGCGTTTGTTTGGTTTGTTTACAAAGTTCGAGGGGTCAGAGTTCACCCGGAAGTGTTGGTTAAGACTTCCGTGTCACGATAGCAACTAAAGCGATCAAGCGAACGCTAGTGGGCGAACCGTGAATTGCAGTTGGTAAGCAGTTTGTTAGAGTTCCATGCAATGTGAGCGCATTTCCATGTTCACAGAACATGTACAGTAACAATCGACCATATTACGGGAAATGTCGGCGCATTTCACACTGTTCAAATAAAATACACCACTCGTAGCTGGGTTTACGACATGGGGCTTCACTCAGTTTGTTGAGAGTGATAACTTTAAGCACGCGGCGGTGCGCTGTATGAGAACGATGATCTCGTCTCTGTCTTTGTGCAGGTTTAGTTTCACACAAAGTAACAGGGTCTAACTTGGTTCAGTTTCTAAACAAGCTTTACTTGGACAAAACTTAAAATAAGTCCTATTCAATTACACTCGGACACGCGCAGTGTTTACACGATAAATAATTGAATAGACATACACAGAAAAGCATTAACTTTAACGTTAACTGTTTATCACGGGGATCACGGATAGTGGGACACGCACTGGTGATCAAATAAAATAAACAGATAAGCATTAAGTGTGTATCACGGAGATCACAATGGAACACGCACTGCGATCAAATAAAATAAACAGAAAGCATTAAGCATTTATCACGGAGATCACAATGGAACACGCACTGCGATCAAATAAAATAAACATTAAGCATTTATCACGGAGAAGCAATGGAACACGCACTGCGATCAGATAAATAACTTTAGGCTTTATGACTAGATTCGACAAGGCGACGCTCTGTCAGGAAAATATTGTAACTTACAGGGTTAGTTTTAATTACTGCAGTTTGATTTCGTTCGGCTTCTCTGACTGATATAAACACACACACACAACGTTATAGCTCTCTGAAAGACTCTGGAACACGCAGATGTCGATCAGCTATAACGAGGTATTTTTCTGGAAATAAGGAACACGCTTAATTCCTACCTTATTGTAGTGTGAGGTTTTATATCTTATGCAGGTATAAAGAAAACAAAATAGGCGACAGACTAGACTTCTCAGCTTTCTCTGGGAGCTTCACTCACAGATAACAGCAGCAGCAACATTCAACGTGCGCGCGGCGCATACGTCACACACAGACTCGCGGAGGTTCGGATCTCGCATCCGCAACCAAAAATGAAAAGATAATTTCTTGATATATGTTCACAATTTAGGTTGAACTGCCCGCATTCTCCACCAATATGTAGCAAATGCAACATATAATAATATACATAAAATGTATTAAAGGGGGCCGAAGGCCAATTTAGCTCAAAGGGAAATGATTCATTGATTTGCAATGAATCTATGGAACCGAATCACTGAACCGAGCAAATGACTCGCTTAGAGTTCATTTGAACGGGCCGTAATTAT